AGGCAGGGCGGGTGTGTAGCGTTGGTGCACCAACTACTGGAGTATTAGAAGTCTTGATGGTTGCTCATGTTCCCTGTGAGACCATCCCTTCATTCCCTTAACCTCTCCAAAGCAGCTTATCCTGCATGTTACCCTCAACATATGCCCAGATCTTACCTGTATTTCATGAGAAGTGTATCTCCAGGGCCAGTGCTCCAGCAAAGCACATGGCCTGTGGAAAATGCCCTGATGTGTGGGAATAACCAGAATAACTAATGCCTGGTCCTCATATGTCAATTTTGCCTACCTGTCTGCTCGTTAACCCGCTGGAAATTGCATCATACTGAGCTGAGGGATTTTGCTTTGTCTACATTATTGGTTCATTTTTTATCAGGGTCAGATCATCTGTGGGTTCCCTCTAAAGAACAATTTTGATTTTCCTTATGAGAAGAAAGGGAAGAGTTGGGAGTAGAGCTAAGCCGAGAGGAGGACAGTGCAGAGGTTCACAAGACTGCAAGTTTCACCCCTGGTTATTTTGTTGTTTGGTTGCCATTGTCCTGAGCCTGTGGCAATAAAAAATCTGCTATGACCATAGGTGTCTGTTTGTAGCCTACATCACAGTGAGAATATTTCCTGCTTCATCAACATCCTGAGAAAATCCTGATGATCAAAGCAGCAAACGTATGATCTCGGGCTGTCTGGGCAGTGGGCTGCCTCTGTCCCTGACACAGGACTGACTCCCTACTGCGCTGCTCCGGAGTGCCTGCTGGAACAGGAGAGGTTGGCACTGCCTGCGGAGTCCTGTCCTCACCCGCTGTGCCGCAGCCCTGGCCCATGCCACTCAGCGTTTGCTCTCTTTGGATCCGGTAACCTCAGCCTTGACTTAAACCTCTTGGCTTTTCTTTTCCATCGCTCCCACTCTGCCATGCTGGTTGCATCCTCCTGTGTTGTACACCTCCATTTTGTTTTCATGGCCTGAGCTGCATTTGAAAAAAATCCAGTTCTTCTAGTGACACTTGACAAGAGGGTACCGGAGTCTTGAGTTCTCAGTCACAGCTCGCAGAGCAGCACTTGCCTTGGGTTTACCGGTGTGCGTGTGGCGTCTGAACATTTTCACAAATGGAATGTTTTATTAATTGTTATTTCCTTCGGAATCAAGATTTTTATGGAGATCCTTAAGTGCTCAGTGAATGACTCGATCGCTTTTAACCTTCCCTTGAGGAATTCTGTGTACAGTCTCTTTAGAGTTTCTGAACATGTTACTGAGCTGGATGATGCTTCCCGTATCCAGCGTTTGTGCTGTCTCTCCTGTGCCTGCCAGCTCACTTTTTGATTTGGTTTTTGTGCGTGTGGAGGTCCTCACTGCTAGGGGAGTGAGGAATTGCAGCCTGCCTGGTGACACTGTGGAGAGTCCACCCGTGTCCACGGAGAGTCCAGGCGTCTTGTGCTTCTGGGGGAGAAGAGCGCATTGCTGCTGGCCCAGAGCCCTGAGCTCTGTGGGTGTTCCTGCCGAAAGTCAGGAACTGTTGACTTGTAGGCCCTGAGCTCCTTGTGGATTAGGAACTAGGTGGTAATGTGGAGTTACCAAAGCTGAAATGGGTTTTCCTTCTGCTCTCTGAGCAGGGCACTGGTTCGGCTCCTCAGGCACTAGCGTGAGCAGGTGCAGCTGCTGGTCCTGCTCCAGCGTCTCGGTGGGCCAAGCTGGACACTGATCAGGTTTAAAAACAACTCAGCAAAATAAGGAATATGTTTGTTTTTAACTTGGATCAGTTCCTGACACAGACCACCACGTGCAACCATAAAAAGCTGTGGAACAACTGAAGAGATGTCTTGGAATGGGAAGCCATCGGTAGTAACTTGGATCAGTTCCTGACACAGACCACCATGTGCAACCATAAAAAGTTGTGGAACAACTGAAGAGGTGTCTTGGAATGGGAAGCCATCGGTAACAGACTGGAGCAGACCCAAACCCCAAATTCACAGGTGTTGGGAAGGGTTTAAAAGATGGGGACAACTGCTTGGAGTGCTTTAGGAGAACTGTTGCGTGCAGAAGGGAGCAGGGAGAAAGAAAATGAATGGATTTTAAATTTTTCTTTGTGTTATGACGACATTGAACAGGAAAGCTTGATAATTGAATGAGAAATTTGCAGGGAAAGGGCTCCCAGAACTGCAGTACTTGACAAAATGTTCAAATCAGTTTTGTTAGGAGCAAGGAAGTAATTGAATCTGTGTTAATGGCTTCACAGGCTTCCATTATATGGCATAGCAAACTTCGGGGTTCCTCTCTGCCCCCCTCTCTTGTTTTTTTCCTCTTGTAATTTTCCCCTTGAAGCAAATTTCCTCTGTGTTACGTTCTCAGCAGTCTGTGCGTGACTAGGACTAACAGTGCTGGTTTTTTTGAAGTAAGCAATCAGCCAGTTATTTCACACTTGCAGTTTCTCTGACTGGAGCCCACTGTCAAATTCTACACTTTTTTCCTAGCTAAATAAAACCAAACCAACCCTGTTGTCATCATCTGATGCCTGTGCTCAGTTGTTTGTTTTAACTTGTGTGGCCACAGTTATGATGCCAGTCCCAGAAAGTGAACTCATTTGAGAATAGCTCTGTTTGTTGTTAGTAAATTACCAGAATTACTGTAGACTACAGGTTGTTGGTACAAAGTAGAAATATAGGCTTGAGAGAGCACTGAAAATGTAATGAAATTAATGTAAGAGAACCATGGTTAGATGAAAACAGACGAGCAATACAGAGCACTTGCACAAAATGGAAAGGGGAGTAGGCTTGTGTTTGGTTTCTTTTTCCTTGTGTGGTTTCAGTTTGGTTTCAGGCTTTGGTATCTCGTTCTCTGGTTAATAACGCCCACGTGGTGCGTTTCGGTGATGTACTCAGCGGTGCAGTGACCTCAGAGGAAGGAGGAGCTCCCAGAAAAGCTCTTGTAGGTGGTTCCATTCTCTGGAAACGCCAGCTGGGCAGCTGGGGTTTTTAATCTCCTCTAAAATGTAGGTCAGACAACTGCTGCTCGTGCAGAGGCCCTCTCGTTTTTCCAGTGGCCTTGCTAGGTTTCCAGGTGTCCTGTTCCTTCCCGTACTGGAACGGTAATGCTGGAGCCATCACTCACGTGTTGTGTCCTTTTTCGTTTGTAGGGAACAGTCTTCACTTTGGAATCTGAAGAGGAGGAGTACCCTGGGCTCATCGCGGAGGACAGTAATGACATCTACATCCTGACCAGTGACAACTCGGGACAGGTGAGCCCGCCGGAGTCTCCAACAGTGACCACATCGTGGCAGTCAGAGAGCCTGCCCGTCTCCCTGTCGGCCAGTCAGAGCTGGCACACAGAGAGCCTGCCTGTCTCCCTGGGACCTGAGTCCTGGCAGCAAGTGGCCATGGATCCTGAAGAAGTCAAAAGCCTGGACAGCAACGGAGGGGGTGAAGAGAGGAGCGAGAACAACTCTTCCAACTCGGATATTGTTCACGTGGAGAAGGAAGAGATACCGGAAGGGATTGAGGAAGCAGCGGTGTCAGCCGTCGCTGCAGAGACCGCGCAGGCGGCGTTTCCAGAAAGCCCTGCTCCTTCACAGAAGGCAACACCTCAAGCTGAAACTGCTGCTGTTGGAAAAGCAGAGGAGCCCTCCCTGCTTCTGCGTACAAAACAGGAGGAAAAGGGAAAAGCGGCTGAAGAGCTTGTTGAACCTGAAATCCCCATATTAAGTAAACCTGTCCCAAAGCTAGCCCCATCAGAAGAAAAGGCTGCACCAGAACCTGAGAAAATACTGCTGCCAGGGGAAAAAAAAGTGGGGAAAGAGGGCCGCTTGGAAGAAATGGAAGAGAAATCCTCGGCTGCGGAGGAGAAGCCTATTTTATTGCCGGAAGGGAAATCCATACTGCTGTACGGTGGGGCTGCTGCGGTGGCTATACTAGCGGTAGCAGTCGGAGTAGCGCTGGCGCTTAGAAAAAAGTAACGGAGCTCTCTTGAGGAGGAGGAGGGGGAGGAGGAGAGGGGAGAGAGCACGATCCAGTTTTTGTAGTTGTGTTACCTAAAGGTTGAGCTGCCTGCTGTTCAGTTGGACATTTGAGTAACTTAATGGTGATGGGGTGAGGTCCTTCAATAAGCCTCCAGCTGTGGACAATCATGTTTTTAGTAGAATTGGGGTGGGGACTGGTTTTTCGTGATTAAAGTACAGGGGTATTTTTAAAAAAAAAAAATTACAAGAAAAAAATAATTCTGCGAATTTAAGAACTTAAGTGCAGGTGCTGAAGAAAGGGGTGCTCGTACTCTAGGAACTGGAACAGAGAATCCCCAGGGAAAGGGGAGAGCCAGCTGCTGCCAACCCCTGGAGATTTTGGCTTCTCAGACTGAGCACTGTTGCATCAGTGCCATCTGGTCATGTCCCGTCACACCCCCCGAGCCCTCCCTACGCCAACCTGAGTCCTGTAGCGAGAGGCTGGTGTCCCGTTTGTCCCAGCTTCCTCTCAGGTACAGCACTGCTCCTCCTAACCTCGCAGGTTCCTCCGAAGCCCCAGTGGGAGAGTGCTTATTCTTACCTCTCGGCTCACACCGGTTTTGGCCCCCAACGATTACTGGAGCCCCATCCTGTAAAGATGCTGCCTCTCTATAGCTGTATTATCTCCGAGCATCCTGGTGTTCCTGGGGGAGAGGTGCAGGAGGGCGTTTTGGCTGCCCAGGAGGGTGGGAGGGACACTGCTATCTGCTGGTTTGAGAATCCATTTGCAACACTCCTGCCTG